TAGCTTGTGCTTCTTCTAAAGAAGTAAACTTCTTGAAATGCATATGACATTTGTGTTTAAAGGGCGTAAAACGCCTTGCCATCATTTTATCTATTACTTTTTTTGCATGTGGATCATCCAAAGGTAAGTCAAATTCATCCTATAAAAAATTAATAAAAATATAGTGTTTTAAGAATGTAAACATAATAATATTAATAAAATTTTAAAAAGTAATGGTTAGCAATATATCTACCTTAATTTTCTGGAACATAGGTACTTTATCTTCATCCTTCCAATAAAATACATTAGCTGGTACAAAAGTTCGAGTGGTAATTCCTACCTCCATTTTAAGTAGACGTTCATCATCACCAACTGGTAAATGCAATCCTTTTTCTATCTTTACACCCTTAATTTGACCAGTTTGTTTCAATCGTTTTTTTACCTCAAATCCTCTAGCCACTCCACGACCTTTTTTTTTTCATAACTATATATATATTTGTACACATATAAATATAAATATATGATTATGATAAATTAATATTTAAGACAAAATATAAAAATGTAGATGAATTTAGGTGTTTGACACAACTTACCTTCATTATTCAATGATTCGATTGGTGTTGTCTCACTTGGCATATTTTGCAAGTTTGATGGTAATGATCTTTGATCGGGCATAATGTCAATACTTTCATTGCCGAAAATAACATTTCCTAAACCTATCAATATCAGAATAAATGAGTGATAGAAAAGATAATAAATAAATTATTAAATAAATAATAATAATAGTAATTACGAACATTGAAAATAAAAAAAAAAAGTCTTATACCCAACTGTTAAGAGACTATTACTTTAACGACAACAAACAAGAACCTAAACAAATTAAAAGTTTCTATAAATATGAGCAATAACATGAAAACCCTTCTTACACTCAAACAAACTAGGACAAAGACTTATTAATAAAGATTCATGTAAGTTGTCACCTTTTCTTAATAATCTACACGTCAAAATCAACAGTAGCAGATTTAATATTTTTAAAATATGGATCCAAAACTATTGAATATGCAAGTGAAGACTCTGTTTGACTTTTTTTAATGTAATACAAAATAGGAATTACAATAATTAATTAAGCTTAAATCTCCATAAAAAATCAACTTGAATGAAGATATAACATGGTTTTTCTAACCAACAAATCAATGAACACAACATATTACTCATGTTTGAAAGATCATAAGTAAATGTTTGAAAGGAAAACACATCTGAATGGTAAAGTCTTTTGTCAGACAACAGGACGAATTCCCCAATATTTTAATAAGAACGATGACAACTAAAAGGCTCGAAGTTGAGAGAATATTATAATAGGTAAATGGAGATTAAAGCATAAGAAAATCATATTTAATGGAGGCGAAACAGTCCAAAAAAGAGGTCTCGTTTTGAGGAGCGGAAAACATATGCAAATAATGCATGCTGGTTTACAATGGTGCCAAGAGTAAGTAGAATCTCTCAATTCCTGCATTAAATTCTAATTACATAAATCCAGTAGTGCCAACAATCATTGTTCCACCTTCTACTACAATTCAAACCCACAAGGGCATTGAACCCCAATTCAAACCATTATTTTCTAATAAACCACCCTCATTCTAGCTTTCCACCTTTCAAAGTAACTAGTTCCACCCTCAGTCTAGTTTTGTATTTTCAGAGGAAAGGGTGAAGGTTGCGTGGCCACCCTCAACCCTATTTTTTTCTTTTATTTCAATCGTTACTTTTTGTGAATACTGTGAACCAAATAAAACTATGTTCTTGAAAGGTTTTACAAAGCCATGAATTATTGCCAATAACTTATAAATCAAACATGGTAAAAATCTAAAATTAACAGCTAAAAATAAAATGAAAACCCTTACCTTGATTGTCAGGGCCGGTCCAATGTGTTTTAATACCCTGGGCGAGATAATAATTTTATGCCCCTATGCTTGTACTGTATAATAGACAAAACATAAATAATTTTTTTAAAACGAAAATGTAATAGAAATTATAGTCAAACAATATCAATATTAATACAAACCAAAACCTACAAGGCTACAAATATCACCTAAAACAATGTCTTCGTGCATTTTTTGAAGCAAAAATAGATATATTAACAAGGAAAGATACAACCTGACCGGTGACCCAAGTTTATGTTATTGACTTGTTCTTTCTCACAATCAACTGATCTGGAAAATTAATTATGAAATCAAAATAATCAGAAGGGATCACTCTAAAAAATGTCTTGAACGAAAATATTTAGCCACTATTTTTTTTCATCAAACTAAGTTTGCCACATATGATTTCCTTCTTACATTTGGACAATTGAAAACTCTAACTACCAATTTGAAAGAAAATCGATATAAATATGTAAAGTTATATGCTGGACTCCAAACTAGAAGAAGCAAATATCACAGGCGATGAGAAAATTCTCCCTTCTACTTAGAACAAAAAACAACAGCATAAAATAAAATGACATCACTTTTAACTCTATTCTTCCCTTCCACCAATTCCATACATCTATTAAACAAGCTCAATTTAATTTCCTAGTAACTAGTGATTCTCTCATTCTGAATGTCTTATCCAGTATTCCAAAAGAGGCATAGCATATAATTAATGTATATAATCTCAATGTACGATGAAGGGTAGTGGCAGTCCATAGCTGAAGCAAAACAACCATACTAATCTGCAATGAGTTTAAGTTTATTTCATTGACACTATTCATTTCAAAATTCAAATGGATCTATCATTCGGAAGTTCCAAGCTTAACTCCAATCAGTGTAACTTGAAAGTTCAGTCTCTCTTCCTCCAATCTCGAAACAGAAACAATGGAAATCCCAGATTTTAGTTCAAGTAAATAAGAACAAAACAGGAAAAAAATCGAAACCATTTAGCAAAGCTGCACAGCCTCGGATCTAGAAACAGAGGAATAGAAACATAACCCATGAAAACGCAGTAGAATATTAATCAAAAGAAACCGTTTCCATACTAATAAAAATTGAGGGGGGAAATCAAATTTTCATTACCTTGCCTCTTCCTTTCCCAGTAGGCAAACAAGGACAAAAACAAACTACACTCTGTGATCGATTTGCTCAAAAAGCAAAATAAGATAAATAGCTTACAATTTGATTGATTTTAAGCCTTTTTGGCAATCAAACAAACTAAAAATCAACCGTGTAACATAGAAATTAAACCTTAGAAAACTGCCCCCCAAACATACTGCCCCGGGCCGTCGCCCATGTGGCACATGTATTGGGCCGGCCCTGTTGATTGTTGATTGTCCCATTATTTGTATTGGATTTTGAGGGTTTAGGATCACCCACAATCTCTGAGATAGCTCTCACTCTCTTTCTTTTATACGTGATTGCCTAGAAAAACAACACAAATATAAACCATAAACTATAGATCATATTAAATTAGATCAAATATAAAAAAAAAAACTCACTGTTTTTTTTTTTTTGCCTTTCTTTGCCTTCACGATGAAAGAAAAAAGATGAAGTTGAGATAATGCCTAAAACTATTATACTGCGCTTTTTAAAAAATGTTTATATAATAAATATAAATAAATTTCTCTAAAAACTACTTTCCCTCTAAAACTCAATTTACTTTAAAAGAAAAAAGAGGGAAATTTCCCTCTTAAATTAATTAATTATTTTAAAAATTTTATTTAATAATAAATATTGAAATCTTAGTCTGATATATATTTTAAATTGATTTAATAATAAATATTTATGGAACTCTTAAATTTAAATATTGTCGTCCAACTTGTAACAAAATTTAAAAATTAAATAAAACAATAAATTAAATATTAAACAAAATCATACTCCTATTAAGAGCATAGCACGATTATTATTATTAATTACAGTATCATTTGGATATCTTTTTAAGAAAATAATAATAATAATAATTAAAGGATAGTCAAGAGAACATGATGAGAAATACAAATTTTTAATGGAACTCACATGATAGTTTATATTTACGTTTTCTATTTTCTATATTTTATTATTTAGTGAAATATTTTATAATTTATTAATTATTTATTGATATAACATATAAAATAAATATGAAAATTTGAAATGGATGTGAATTAAATTTAAAATTGAGGATTTTAAAAAATTCGTAAAACAAATTTGAACATTAATTATAAATATATAAAATGTAGTTTTTGAGTATTTGTTTAAGGAAAACAACAAATATAAGACTACATGTAAAAATATAACATATAAATTTTTGTTAAATACATGATTTTTTATTATCGATATTAGTTAGGAGTATTTATATCTATGTACTTCGCTTTTTCAAGTATTTGAGATTTTCGAGTGCCAAAAACTCGGTCCATGTCTCAACCAGTAACATGCGGGTATCCGTAAGTCGAGTAACCATGAAACCTAGTACTCGTATTTTTAGGTCATCGATACCCTATTAAAATTTATTTTATTTCTTTAATTTAGTTTAATTTTTAACAAAAAGATACCTAAGGCTCTTATATTTTTTTCCGAAAAGATCAATTTGGCCATCGAATTATTGTTGCATTCAATGTGACCTTCGAACTTAGAAAAAAATAACGTGACCCTTTAATCAATGGTTTCTATCGTTAACCATTATGAAACTGTATAATAAAAAAATAGTGAAAAATAGTTATACAACTAAGAAGAGCTTTGTAGTGAATATAACATGATTGTCGGAAGTAAACTTCACCTAAACTTAATGTAAAAATAATAATAAGAAATTTGTCATTCTTTGGTTAATATATATTGTTCAGTTTTTTAGAAATTTAGTTTCTTTTTTAGTATTTTTTATATTTATTTTTTGTATATTTTAAATTTTAAATCTATAATAATGATTTTTTAATAAATAAATAAGAACCTGAAGTTTTGATAAAACTAATTTTAAATTTTAAATTTTAAATATCACTTAAGAGTCATCACTTGAGTTTGTTAGAGTTTCAAATTTCCCAAATATTAAAATCCCTACCTCTTACTCTATCTACCTCTCTCGAAAGTTTATTATGTTATCCCTTCTCTCACGATGACAACGACACTTCAGCACAAGCAGGCAACAAGTAGTCAATCTTACCAACACAGTCATAGCCCAGATCCCACAACAAAGGTACTGATCTCCTTTCCCCTTCTTGTTTTGCTTTCTCTCTTTTACTTAATTTAAGTACAATAAACAAGATCCTAAATAAATTAAGAGTATCTGGAAATTTTGATCAATAATGATTATTATAACACCTAAATGGCGGTGGAAGCAGTACAACCCAGGCGCCAGAAGTTTTATTTAGAATTTTTTTTATTTCTTTTTTCCGGGATATAGTACAGTAATGAAAACCCTTTTGTTTGCTTCTGATTCAATAAAGATATCTCAGTTTCTACTATTTGTTTCGTCTGTTGGAGGTAATTTTTCACTTTACGTTTAGAATTTGGGTCTCCTGTACCATAATCTGAGTCCCTTTTAACTGCATTTTCACTTTACGTTTAGTATTTTTCACTTTACGTTCAGTATTTGGGTCTCCAGTACCATATTCAGATTCACTTTTAAGTGCATTTTCCTCCTTTAAACTACCAAATGTAAACAATAGAACCTCAAAATCTTCAATTTAATTCCCTTTTGTTTGATGTTTCCCTCTTGTTTCTTTCTTTGTAATATTGTATATTAATTGGTATGGATCATATTATAGCTTCCGTGGTTGCTTGAATTTTTAACCTCTGTTTCGTGGTCTATTTAATATCTCCTCTAAGCTTTTGTTGACATTTTCTATACTAATTAATTTTCTTTATATTTTTGTTAATGTATTTTATATATGTTAGGGTTGATACAATGGATAGAAGTTGGATGTCACATACAAACAGATTTAGCACTGAATATCAAGAAGGAATTCGTGATTTCTTAAATCTTGCAAAACAAAATACAGACTCCAGTGGTAGGATTCGTTGCCCTTGCAAAGATTGTAACAACTGCTTATTTAAAAAGTTAGCAGATGTCAAGTTCGATTTGTTTCGACATGGATTTGCAGAGGATTATACTCAATGGACACATCACGGTGAGTATTTTTCAACCAAACAGTGATAAACAACATGATTTTAATGATAATAATCACATTAGTGAGGAAGTTCAACAAGAACATGGTGATATGTTTGAAATGTTAGATGACATACAAAAATCAACTTTCATTGGAACTAATATTGAAAGTTCATCTACGAATACTGAAACAGTTGAGCCGAAAGGGGAAGTAGAAAAGTTTAGGAAATTGTTAAATGATGCTCAACGTGAATTATATCCTGGTTGTAAGTACTCGAAGTTATCATTTCTTATGAAGATGATCCACAATAAAACAATTACCAATTCGAGTATCAAATCTTTTGATTTGAACTTAAAATTGTTCAAGGATGCTCTTCCGAAAGATGAAACGCTTACTGAATCTTATTATGAGGTGAAAAAGCTTTTGCGTGATCTTGGTCTGGGTTATATCAATATTGAAGCGTGTGTGAATGATTGCAGATTATATTGGAAACAATATGAGCATTTTGATCAATGTCCTAATTACCAAGCTTCAAGGTGGAATTTTGGTTTGGGAAAACATAGAAAGATTGCTCGTAAAATAGTCAAATATTTTCCTTTGAAACCTAGACTTCAAAGATTATTTATGTCTAAAGATGTTGCTGAAGACATGCGATGGCACAAGGAAAAATGTATTAATGATGATGTAATAAGGCATCCGGCTGATGCAACTGCTTGGCAGGAATTTGATAAAGAAAATGATTGGTTTGCTTTAGATTCACGTAATGTACGAATTGGGCTTTCTAGTGATGGTTTCAATCCTTTTGGCAATATGAGCACCAGCTACAGCATGTGGCCTGTTATTCTACTTCCTTATAATTTGCCACCTTGGAAATGTATGAAGGAGCCATTTTTGTTTCTGTCCACATTAATTCCAGGTAAGAATTCTCCTGGTAATGACATTGATGTTTATTTACAACCTTTAATAGATGAGTTTGAAGATTTATGGGAGAATGGTGTTGAAACATATGATGCGTACAGTAGTGAAAAATTCAACTGCACGCTGCATTGTTATGGACTATAAATGATTTTCCTGTATATGGTATGTTATCTGGGTGGAGTACAAAAGGAAAGTTGGCATATACTATTTGTAACAAGTGGACATATTCTGTTACTTTGAAGCATGGGCAGAAACAATGTTACATGGGTCATCGTAGATACTTGGATAAAACACACCCATGGAGAAAAAGTAAGAAATTTGATGATAAGCCGAAGTATAGGGATAAGCCTCTAGAATTATCCGGAGATGATATAGTTGAACAGACAAATTACATTTCTATGACTTTTGGGAAGCTACATACTAATAGAAAGCGCAAACGTACTGATGGAGAGATTAATTGTACGAAAAGAAGCATTTTTTTTAACCTTCCGTATTGGAAAACTTTAAAATTATGCCATTATTTGGATGTGATGCACATTGAGAAAAATATTTGTGAAAACATTTTGGGAACATTGTTGAATATCGATGGAAAGACAAAGGATAATGTTAAGAGTCGTCTGGATTTGGAAGAAATGGGCATTAGAAAAGAGTTGCACTTAAAACGTAATGGTGATAGGTTAGAAATGCCTATAGCATTCTACACACTGCCATTGTCAATTCGAAAAAAGTTTTTTTGAATGGCTTAGATTAATTAAGTTTCCTGACGGCTATTGTTCAAACTTATCTCGATGTGTAAATGTTGATGATGGCAAGTTGTATGGAATGAAAAGCCATGATTATCATGTTTTTATGCAACGAGTCCTTCCGGCAGCAACATATGGTTATCTACGAAAGGATCTTTACACTGTGTTATCTGAGTTGAGTTGTTTTTTCATAGATTTATGTTCAAAGACAGTTAAAAAAGACAAGTTATATAAGTTGCAAAGTGACATAGCTCTAATTTTGTGTAAGCTTGAAAGCATATACCCTCCGTCATTTTTTGTGGTTATGTTACACTTGTCTATTCACTTACCCCGTGAGGTTGAGTTAGGTGGTCCCGTTCACTATCGATGGATGTATTTTATTGAAAGGTAATATTAAATTTTTACTTTAACCTTTTTATTTATGTTCATTCGTCATTATGTATTCACGATTTATTTTTTATGAATAGGTTCTTAGGTACACTGAAAGACTCTGTGGGTAATAAAGCTCGCCCTGAAGGTTCCATCGCTGAAGCGTATGTGAACAAAGAGTGTCATAATTTTTGTTCTATGTACTTTCATGGAGTTGAAACTCGATATAACAGATTCGAAAGAAACTTTGACGGAGATCAAATAATGATTGAAAATGAGTATTCTATTTTTTCACAAAAAGCAAGAACTTTGGGAGCTGCAATATATTATACATTGTCCAATTCTGATTTCAGAACGATTCAATGGTATATACTTATCAACTGTGATGAGATAGAAGAGTACTTAAAGTAAGTTAATTTTTTTCATTAAAGTACATGTGAACTTTAAATGTTATTATACTTTATGAATGACTAAATATATATATATATATATATATATTTAATATATAGAATGCATATGGAGGAAATTCAAAAACATGGGAATGCTGACTTGCAACAAAGACATCAAGTTGAATTTCCCTCTTGGTTAAAACGATATGTAAGTGTTTCTCAATTCATATCATATCCAATAATAAAAATATATTTATTACTTAGACTTTTAAACTTATTTTCACAGGTTATTAAGTTGCATTTGGATGCTTCACTTGAATCGAACAATCATCTATATGTATTAGGTATTGGTCCTGATATACGTGTTAGTCGTTATACTGGTATAATTGTGAATGGGGTTAGGTTTCATACTATCAAGCGTGGATCTAGTCGTCGCACTCAAAATAGTGGTGTTTTAGTGCACGGAGTTCATAATTCAAAAGAAACTGATTTTTATGGTCAGTTAACAGATATTATTCAGCTTGATTACTGCAATGGGAATAAAGTTTTTATGTTTGAGTGTGACTGGTGGAATGTTGGTGACAAGAAAAATGGCATAAGAACAAATGGAGACTTGATAAGTGTGAACGTTAGTCGAAAATGGTATACATGTGACCGTTTTGTCTTAGCTACTCAGGTGGAGCAGGTTTTTTACATTGATGATGTAAAAAATGGAGATAACTGGAAATTTGTGCAAAAGACAAATCCCAGACATATATACGATGTTCCAGAAGTCGAAGGAAATGAAAGTAATCCAGCTCATGAGCCATATCAACAATTTGAACCTGGTTCCAATGATGTTCATCAAACTAATATTGTTGAATCAAGAAGATGAAGTCTATGAGATTGATTCTAGTCTTTTGTCTTCAAACAGTGGATCAATGTCAAATGCAAGAACAATTCATACTAGTTTATTTAATGAAGGTGATGATGATGAAGATGATGATGACACCATTATTAATTACTTAGATGATGATAGTGATAATAACAGTGGTGGTGGCGATAACGAAGATATGGATGACCGATATGAAGACGAAGAGGAGGAGGAGGAGGATTAGTTATAATTTCAATTGAGACAATTATTTTATTGAAAATATAATTTAGTTTAATTAATTACGATTGTTTGTATGCTTCTGAATGAAATTACTTTTGATTTGTCAATTATGCATATTGAGTTATTCAAATTCTTTACTTGATTTAATTATTTACATAATTATAATTAAGAGAAAAAGTTTAAAACTAGCTTCGTAAAAAATAAAGGAAAACATTTTGATAATATATTTTGTTATTATATTTTATTTGAAAATGTCATTGAATTATATATATATATATATATATACATCATAGAAATTGGATTTTGTTTAATTTTATTTTTATAATAATAGTAATAATTATATTTTATCATTATACTCAAACTGTATAACAACAAATATATTTTTTCATAATAAGCTAAAATCATTTATTAATTAAAAAAATAAATTTTTAGTTGTTATAATTTTTCTATAACAATAACTATAAAATTTTTACTATATAACATTTTTGGAACCAAAAAATACGGAGAAATGTCTATGATATTATAATTTTACATAATGATTAAAATATATAACTACAAAAATAATTGATTACAAAAAACTTGAATTTTATTGTTTGATGTGATATTTTTTTATAAAAATAACTATAAATTATAATTACAAAACGGATGAATATAAATTTTTGAAACAAAAAAAAAGTGGACAAAAATATTTATCACAATATATGTTATCACTATAATTATAATTTATAACTGCAAGTATAATTTGTCACAAAAATGTGAACACAATTATTTTTTGTGACAAATTTTTTTGTAATAATTATAAACACTTATAGTTACAAAAATTGTTACTATATGATTTTTTGGCGCAATAAAATATAGAGGAAAATCTTTATGATAATATATTTTGTTACTATATAATATTTTTGACACTAAAAATAGGGATAAATGGTTATGATAGTATAAATTTATAATGATTAAATATATAATTTAAAAAATAATTGATTACAAAAAACCTGAATTTTATTATTTGATTTGATAATTTTTTCTATAACAATAACTATAAATTATAATTATAAAAATTGTCAATATAACTTTTGAAACAAAAAAGTGAAGAAAAATAGTTATGACAATTAATATATGCTATCACTATAGTTAAAATTTATAACAACAAATATAATTTGTCACAAAAAACGTGAATATAATTTATTTTTTGTGGCAATGTTTTTTGTAATAATTATTAACACTTATAGTTACAAAATTTGTCATTATATGACTTTTTTGCGCAAAAAAATATGGAAGAAAATCTTTGTGATAATATACTTTGTCACTATAATTAAAACATATAACGACAAATATTTTTTTTACTAAAAACTTGAATCTCATTATTTTTTGTGACAAATTTTTTTGTAACAATAATTATAGCTTATAGTTACAAAACATGTCACTATATAATTTTGTTTTTTTACCAAAAATTGGAGATAATCATTTGTGGCTATACATTTTGTCACTATAATTAAAATATATAATTACAAACAAATTTTTGTCACAACAAATCTAATTCTTATTATTTGTTGTGACAATTTTTTGTCATAGTTACTAAAACTTTTAGTTACAAAGATTGTCACTATATGCCTTCAATTTGGCGCCAAAAAATTGGAGGGAAATATTTATGACAAAAATTAGTAATAAAATTTATTTTGTCACTATATGTTACATATGTTTATTAATTGTGACAAATTATTATGACGATTTTTGTTTTTGTCATAATTGTATATATATTTTTTAATCTAATCCGACGATTATTTATTTTGTCACCAAAAAGCAATTAATAGTGACAAAAATTAATTTTGAGAAAATTAAATTTGTCACAATTGTAAAAATTTCTTGTAGTGATATGGGTGAAATATACAAATCATTGGAGGTCTATATAAAAACATGTTCAGAACAAAATATCAATAATACATATACATAAGTAGTAAAAAACATGCCACCAAAATGTAACGGAGATAGGCATAAAAAATGTACAGTGGTACAAAAATGGATAATGATTAATCCTCCTGATGCCAAGTCTGCTAGCCTACTGACAGATAGTATATGAAAAGTAAAAATTAAAGAATGAGCTAAAAAGCCCAATGTGCTCCTTGTGGTGTATAAAAGCATACAAATAATATTCAATAAAAATGAAGTATAAAATAGGTTTTGAAAACATGAACACTACCCCCATCCGAACACCAGAATATGTAGGTTCCCCTAAATCGTACACTCACATGTACACCCGATAAGGACCTTATATTGATAGCATAAGGGCCTGCAGTAAGGACATACCTTGTGCACAAAGTAGAGGAGCCTGGGGTAAGGTCTTATAAGTCATATACTAAGCCTGAAATACTTCCTCCAATCATACCCCCAATGATAGTAAACATGCATGTATCTTGGTGAAAATAGTGGTTTAATCCTTTAAAACATGAAAACATTATGTTTTTTTAGAATCAGATACTATCATGACAAAAATATAAGGTAAATAAGATATCATAGGTCAAAGCATGTGGTAAAACAAATGTCATGCAATCGGAATATTTAATAAAGTCATAAATTTAAAATGGTTCAGACAAATATTTTAAAACAACACTGTAACATCAATATGTACACATCTGAATTGATATAAGAAGTCTGGGACGATATCATACTCTCTGGTCTACCTATCACGGTTAACGGTAGTGCGAGATCCTATGAATAGAAATAATTGAATCAACATCCTAGTAAAATAAATAATAAACTCTAGTTAAACCATTTACAGAAACCTACAAGTAGTTCTCGAAGAACACAAATTTTACTGATCACCTAGAAGGGATGTATCGGATCTAGTCGACCCTCAGTCAAGGGAATCACGAGTACCTTCATGAAAATATAATCACATATTAATTCAATAATCAAATCCCAAATAAATAAGTATAAAAGCTAAAAATACTAAGCATTTACATATTAACAAGCTCGGTTTGGAGCTTTTGGGTCAAAATTTGGAGAAACAAACTGGAAAATCAGACTCGTGAAACATCATGATAGGTTGCCTAAAAAAAAGTCAATGTCAACACCGGACAACGGACAAAAATTAGGCTCAGCTCGGCTCAACTCAGCTAGACTGGTTCGCGTGGGGGAGCGTGCGACGGATTACGACGACAGAAAAATTACCAAAAATTTTCTAAATTCATTTAAAAGCATTTTAAGGCAGTTACCTACCTCGGTTCACAATAGTGAATAGCGGAGCGCCCGATTACGCTTCGTAGGAAACTTGTTTATGCTCACCCCTTTAGAAGCTTGCGACTTTGATGATGAGGTGAATACCGATGGACTCAGGACGATGCAGGGAATCCAATGGTAAGGGCGGTGATGAAATCGAAACAACGATCGGCGGTGAAACAACTTTGAAAGATTTTGGCCAAAAGTTACCCTGAAATGAAGGTTAAAGAGAGAGAAAGAGTTTTTGAGTTTCTAGAAATTGAAAATTCATATTTGGGAACCTTTCAAATTCACCCAAAAAGAAAAATGGCAAAATCATGTCATAGGTCCTTTAAGTTTTGTTATTTTCTTATTTGAACCTAAATTTGGTTAAAAGTTTATTTTGGTCCTTGAATTTAACTGAAATTTAATTTAGTCATTGAAATTAAAGTTAATAAAAATTGAAGCCCTAATTTAGGGTGTGACATTCATGTGAAAAGTGGAGAATATGTTCTCAAGGTGGAGAACTCAGTGGTGGGTGCACTTGCACTAAGTCCCCATATGGGCCAAGTGCATCCCCATTATTTTGGAAAAGTAGTTAAATTTAGCTTAATGTGTTAAGGAAAAAAGAAAAAAAATTACAATTTTTCATACCCATTATTTTTAAGAAAAGAAAATTAAAATTTTGGACCCCTATTCTTAAATTTCTGTATCCACCACTAGAAGAACTTGTTCATTGAAGTGAATGATTGTTTTTGTTGAGTTTGGTTTTTTCATCGAATTTTGAGTTTTTATCTCAAATCCTTTTGCACTTTCAAAATTCGTGTCAAGGTGGATATTGTTAGAGTTTGACTTTTATTTAATATGTCACAAAATAATTCATAATTAGAGAAATTAAGAAACCTAGTTTGATTTAAAGTAGAAAGATTATTTTCTCTTATGTAGAAAACCTACTTTGAATAGAATTTTATATTATAAGTTTATTTTATAATCAATTATCTATCTCTATAAATAGATACTAAAAGTTAGAGTTAGATATCAAATTTGTTTTCTCCAAGTTCTCTTGTATTCTTCTTAGTTCTTCCTTCATATTAGTGAAACTCTCTTCTTCTTCATGTTATTTTTCTCGAAAGGTTTTTCCACGTTAAATATTGGTGTTCTTTCTTTTGCGATCATTTTACATTTGTTATTATCATGCTTCATCATAACACCTACTAAATCACCAAAGTGCAATTCTTTATAATCATTCAAATAAATTCACATTTAACTTTCGAAATAAATATATATATTGATAAAAGAATCATATTTTTCAATTTTTGCTCGAATTTATAAATCTCACTATTAATAAAATTTATAATCGATTTAGTATTAATTCCAGACGTTGTGGTTGTGTCCATCCTTCTCCATATGTGATAGACTCTCAAACTCTTCCAAATGAATTTTTGGCGAAACGTAAATTCACTTTATCTTTAAATATTTTTTTAAAATTTTTATCTTTAAAGTTTTTTTTGATTTCTTAAAAACGATTATTAGGTATTTTACATCTAACCCAAATGGTCGATAACATCTCTAAATTAATTTTTATA